CATCGGTGGAGCGAAAGGCCAACGAGTATTCATTCCAAGAATTGGTTTAGTGCCAATGGACACTCTTTTACCATTTAGACTTTGACGCCGTCAATTTCGCCTTCGTCTACCTTTCGCAATGACCATACAGGAGTACTTTGCCGCTCGTTATCTTGGTCGGCAACTCACAACTGACGAACAATCAGCCATCGAACTCATAAATTCATACAAGTATGATCAACGTTTTACCAAGCTATTCGTGTTCACCACAGGAATACCCGTCTCTCGATCCGATTTACAGAAACTTGATCTTTTTGTCAAGACGATCGAAAGTCAACCGGCAGACCTTATTGGAATGCGTCACATTCAACTGATGATTCAACTTTACGATGAACTCGAACCTTGTAGAAACTACCAAAATCTCGATAAACATTTACATCACATTCAGAACTGGTTTCAATTCGCGATGAAACAAACAAACAAATCCATCTAATCCAATGTTCTGAACATGATCGCAAATAGTGCTACACTATCCCAAAAAATGCAACACCAAGGGATTGCTAGCCAAACACAGGATACGGACGAAGTAGAGTTCGATAGAACTATCGTTCAACAACTGACAGACTCGAAGTGGTTCCAGAGACGAAACGCCGGCGAAACACTCGTCAGGATGGGTGAGAAAGCAGCAACCAAAGAAACTCTTCTTGAGCTCATGAACTTGTTTCAAAATCCTGAGAAAGACGTGAGAAACGTTGCATGCTACACACTGATCAAAATTAGTGACAAAGTGGCAACAGATGATTTAATCAGTACGTTCTTGCTGGCGCTACAGCATTCGGAATGGCTTGTGGAAAAAACGGCGTGTTCTGCAATCAGATAAATAGCTGGCAGGCTCATCACGAACGACATCATCAATCTACTTATCACGTTACCCAAGGATTCTGACGAGCGTGTGCAACATGCCGCGTGTCGAGCACTCATGAGTATGGGCAACAAGGCAGTCAAGGATGAGGCCATCGGTGCACTAACCGAATTATTGCAAGACGAACGATGGAGTGTCAAGGAAGCAGCATGTGCAGTGCTCATGGCAATGGGCGACCACATCGGCACAGTCGACACAATCGACGCACTGATCAGAATAGTGTGCCACGAGAAAGAAATTTTGAGGGCAACCGCTTGTCGAGCACTCGGAAACATATGTCAGAATCGAATCAACTATTATCTAGTTAATCAACTCGTTCAGACCATGCGACATGCTCAGCATGGCGTTAGATGAGCGGCGTGTCAAGTCTTCGCCAACATAGGTCCGAAAGTCGCCACGAAAACGGTCATCGAAGCCCTTCTTCAAGCCCTCGCTGATAAACAATGGAATGTCAGAGCAGCTGCGTCTGAAACATTAAAAGCGTTTGGAGACAAGGTGGCAATTGATCAAGCCGTGAAAGCACTCATTCCATTACTAGTAGATGAAAAGGATGAAGTACAAAAGGCCGCCTACGCTACACTCATGAATATGCCTCCCAAAATGTCAACTCAATCTAACGTCGATGCAATCACAGGGATGATGTATTATCACCGCATAGAAAATGCCGCACAGCGAGCACTGACGGGAATGTTCTACAAAGCAATTGACATAAGTAAGCTCGAGATTATACACAAAGCACTACGATCTGAAAATGACGGCGTCACGTACGCGGTATGTGAGGCACTCATGCACGCGAAAAGCAATGCAGCAACAGCTGATGCTATTGAAGCGCTTATTCTAATACTAAAAAGATCAGAAACTAGCTGTACGCGGATTGCTTTGGAAGCACTTGCGAGAATGTGCTATATCGCAGAACCCACAAGAGAGCGACCTATAAGCTACATGTATGTGGCAAGACGGGAACCTCATTATGATTTAATTAGAAGTGCTATCAGAGAGCTTTTCAAACACTACGAGTCAGCACACTTACATGGCATAGGCGGTGTGATCAACAAAGCACTTGAAGATTCTGATGATGATCTCAGATACAAGGCATGTGAATATATCATTCGTGTAGATCACCATCAAACAAACGAAAAGACCGTTCGTTTACTACTTCGAATACTCAAAGATTCGCATAGTAGATTGAACAGAGCTGTGTGGGAGGCACTCGGGGTAGTCCGATATGGTGCTGCAACTAACCAAGTCGTTGATATAGTAGTCAAAGCATTGAAAGATCCCGATCATGATATCAATCGAGATGCTCTCGAGATGATTATCAAGGCGAATAAACAGGTAGCGACGAAGGAAATCATCAGGGCACTCAACAGTATATTGCGAGATGCACAATCTCGGCTGAAAGAGTATGCTTGCAACGCATTGGCAGCGATGGGCAACGAGGCAGCAACAGAAGATGTCATCGATGCATTGAATCAAGCAGTCCGAAATTCTGACGTGAGCAAAGCGGCTTGTGAAGCATTAGCAGCGGTGAGTAACGCGGCAGCCCCAGAAGCAATCATTGATGCATTCTTATATGTGTTACGGCTTCCTAAATGTCATTTCAAAGTAACTGCTTTACGAGGACTGGCTGCGATGGGTAATAAGGGAGTTAACCAGAAAACTACCGATGCAATCATCGAAGCGTTGCAGCAGTCTGATGGGGAGTTCTTGCGCGAGGCATGCAAAGTACTCATAGCGACAGGCGACGAAACCACGATCAAAACCACAATTGACATCTTAATTGAAAAGTACAAAGGTGACAATTATGGTATGATAAAATGGGCTGGTGAAATACTCGTCGAACTGGCTGAAAGAAAACTCTTGAGCGCTTTCATGAATGTTTTCATAGAAGCTATGCAATACTCTGACAAATCTGTGACCGCGCTCAAAGTGCTAACAAAGATGGATTATAAGTCAGACGTGAAGGATATCGTTACTGCAGCCATTCAAGCTTCGCATAATCCAGCTGAGGATATCAAATTAAGTGCATACAAATGGGTTTGGTGTTAAACGCAGAAAGGGAAAATGTCGAGAAGGAAAATATCGAAAAAAATATAGGGAAACGTCGAAGAGGAAAACATATACATAGAAAACACCGAAAGACATGATGTCGAATTGGAAAGATGGTCAGCAGGAAAAGGTCGAAAGGAAAAGATCGATTGGGAAAATGTCGAAAGATATTTTTAT